ATTGGTGTATCGGTCTCGTTACGACAAGGCACGTGAAATCAAATTTCCCGCAAAATTTAGTGGAGGAAGAGTATTGGTGTATACGTCACGTGGCGTCAGATCACGTGACGTCAATGGTTTCGCTAAATATAGCGGGAAAACTAAATTGGTGTATCGGTCTCGTTACGACAAGGCACGTGAAATCAAATTTCCCGCAAAATTGAGTGGAGGAAGAGAATTGGTGTATACGTCACGTGGCGTCAGATCACGTGACGTCAATGGTTTCGCTAATTATAGCGAAAAAACTAAATTGGTGTATCGGTCTCGTTACGACAAGGCACGTGAAATCAAATTTTCCGCAAAATTTAGTGGAGGAAGAGAATTGGTGTATACGTCACGTGGCGTCAGATCACGTGACGTCAATGGTTTCGCTAAATATAGCGAGAAAACTAAATTGGTGTATCGGTCTCGTTACGACAAGGCACGTGAAATCAAATTTCCCGCAAACTTTAGTGGAGGAAGAGAATTGGTGTATACGTCACGTGGCGTCAGATCACGTGACGTCAATGGTTTCGCTAATTATAGCGAAAAAACTAAATTGGTGTATCGGTCTCGTTACGACAAGGCACGTGAAATCAAATTTCCCGCAAACTTTAGTGGAGGAAGAGAATTGGTGTATACGTCACGTGGCGTCAGATCACGTGACGTCAATGGTTTCGCTAAATATAGCGAGAAAACTAAATTGGTGTATCGGTCTCGTTACGACAAGGCACGTTAAATCAAATTTCCCGCAAAATTTAGTGGAGGAAGAGAATTGGTGTATACGTCACGTGGCGTCAGATCACGTGACGTCAATGGTTTCGCTAAATATAGCGAGAAAACTAAATTGGTGTATCGGTCTCGTTACGACAAGGCACGTTAAATCAAATTTCCCGCAAAATTTAGTGGAGGAAGAGAATTGGTGTATACGTCACGTGGCGTCAGATCACGTGACGTCAATGGTTTCGCTAATTATAGCGAAAAAACTAAATTGGTGTATCGGTCTCGTTACGACAAGGCACGTGAAATCAAATTTCCCGCAAAATTTAGTGGAGGAAGAGAATTGGTGTATACGTCACGTGGCGTCAGATCACGTGACGTCAATGGTTTCGCTAAATATAGCGAGAAAACTAAATTGGTGTATCGGTCTCGTTACGACAAGGCACGTTAAATCAAATTTCCCGCAAAATTTAGTGGAGGAAGAGAATTGGTGTATACGTCACGTGGCGTCAGATCACGTGACGTCAATGGTTTCGCTAAATATAGCGAGAAAACTAAATTGGTGTATCGGTCTCGTTACGACAAGGCACGTTAAATCAAATTTCCCGCAAAATTTAGTGGAGGAAGAGAATTGGTGTATACGTCACGTGGCGTCAGATCACGTGACGTCAATGGTTTCGCTAAATATAGCGAGAAAACTAAATTGGTGTATCGGTCTCGTTACGACAAGGCACGTTAAATCAAATTTCCCGCAAAATTTAGTGGAGGAAGAGAATTGGTGTATACGTCACGTGGCGTCAGATCACGTGACGTCAATGGTTTCGCTAATTATAGCGAAAAAACTAAATTGGTGTATCGGTCTCGTTACGACAAGGCACGTGAAATCAAATTTCCCGCAAAATTTAGTGGAGGAAGAGAATTGGTGTATACGTCACGTGGCGTCAGATCACGTGATGTCAATGGTTTCGCTAATTATAGCGAAAAAACTAAATTGGTGTATCGGTCTCGTTACGACAAGGCACGTGAAATCAAATTTCCCGCAAACTTTACTGGACGAAGAGAATTGGTGTATACGTCACGTGGCGTCAGATCACGTGATGTCAATGGTTTCGCTAATTATAGCGAAAAAACTAAATTGGTGTATCGGTCTCGTTACGACAAGGCACGTGAAATCAAATTTCCCGCAAACTTTACTGGACGAAGAGAATTGGTGTATACGTCACGTGGCGTCAGATCACGTGACGTGAATGGTTTCGCTAATTATAGCGAGAAAACTAAATTGGTGTATCGGTCTCGTTACGACAAGGCACGTGAAATCAAATTTCCCGCAAAATTTAGTGGAGGAAGAGAATTGGTGTATACGTCACGTGGCGTCAGATCACGTGACGTCAATGGTTTCGCTAAATATAGCGAGAAAACTAAATTGGTTTATCGGTCTCGTTACAACAAGGCACGTGAAATCAAATTTCCCGCAAAATTTAGTGGAGGAAGAGAATTGGTGTATACGTCACGTGGCGTCAGATCACGTGATGTCAATGGTTTCGCTAATTATAGCGAAAAAAGTGAAAGCCGTTTACCACTCCCTGTAACGCCGAATTGGAGCGCAGCTCTTGAGGAGGAGGAGGGGAGGGTACTGAGGGCCACGTGTTCTCGGGGGGGGGGGGGGTCACGTGCCCCCTCAGAGGTCACGTGACCTCGGGAGGGGGTCACGTGACTCCCCAGGTCACGTGACCCCCGGGTCACGTGACCAAAATTTTTCCGCTAGATTTAGCGGGGAAATTTTTTTCGCTAGATTTAGCGGGGAAAGTTTTCCGCTAGATTTAGCGGGGAAATTTTTTCCGCTAGATTTAGCGGGGAAATTTTTTCCGCTAGATTTAGCGGGGAAATTTTCCCGCTAGATTTAGCGGGGAAATTTTTTCCGCTAGATTTAGCGGGGAAAGTTTTCCGCTAGATTTAGCGGGGAAATTTTTTCGCTACATTTAGCGGGGAAATTTTTTCCGCTAGGATTTAGCGGGGAAAGTTTTCCGCTAGATTTAGCGGGAAAATTTTTTCCGCTAGATTTGACGGGGAAATTTTCCCGCTAGATTTAGCGGGGAAATTTTTCCGCTAGATTTAGCGGGGAAATTTTTTCCGCTAGATTTAGCGGGGAAAGTTTTCCGCTAGATTTAGCGGGAAAATTTTTTCCGCTAGATTTGACGGGGAAATTTTTCCGCTAGATTTAGCGGGGAAATTGTTTCCGCTAGATTTAGCGGGGAAATTTTTCCGCTAGATTTAGCGGGGAAATTTTTCCGCTAGATTTAGCGGGGAAATTTTTTCCGCTAGATTTAGCGGGGAAATTTGCCCATAATGCACCGCGCGGTTACGCCGACGGCGACGGCGACGCCGACGGCGACGGCGACGGCGACGGCGACGCCGCTCAAGCCGGGAACGGGCCCCTAAGAGCTGCGCTCTAAAAACTAAATTGGTGCATCGGTCTCGTTACGACAAGGCACGTGAAATCAAATTTCCCGCAAACTTTACTGGACGAAGAGAATTGGTGTATACGTCACGTGGCGTCAGATCACGTGACGTCAATGGTTTCGCTAATTATAGCGAAAAAACTAAATTGGTGTATCGGTCTCGTTACGACAAGGCACGTGAAATCAAATTTCCCGCAAACTTTACTGGACGAAGAGAATTGGTGTATACGTCACGTGGCGTCAGATCACATGACGTCAATGGTTTCGCTAATTATAGCGAAAAAACTAAATTGGTGTATCGGTCTCGTTACGACAAGGCACGTGAAATCAAATTTCCCGCAAACTTTACTGGACGAAGAGAATTGGTGTATACGTCACGTGGCGTCAGATCACGTGACGTCAATGGTTTCGCTAAATATAGCGAGAAAACTAAATTGGTGTATCGGTCTCGTTACGACAAGGCACGTGAAATCAAATTTCCCGCAAAATTTAGTGGAGGAAGAGAATTGGTGTATACGTCACGTGGCGTCAGATCACGTGACGTCAATGGTTTCGCTAAATATAGCGGGAAAACTAAATTGGTGTATCGGTCTCGTTACGACAAGGCATGTGAAATCAAATTTCCCGCAAAATTTAGTGGAGGAAGAGAATTGGTGTATACGTCACGTGGCGTCAGATCACGTGACGTCAATGGTTTCGCTAAATATAGCGGGAAAACTAAATTGGTGTATCGGTCTCGTTACGACAAGGCACGTGAAATCAAATTTCCCGCAAAATTTAGTGGAGGAAGAGAATTGGTGCATACGTCACGTGGCGTCAGATCACGTTACGTGAATTTACTCGATAAATATAGCGGGGAAACCAAAGCTATGTCACGCGTAAATCTGCCGTGACATGAATTTTTCTGCCGGTTTCGGCGGGAAAACTTAATTCGTGTATAGATCACGTGACGTCCGATCACGTGACATCAATTGACGACCGTTTTCCCCGCTAAGTTAAGCGGAAAAAGCACGGACGGACGGACGGAGAGACAGACGCACAATATTTCGGGGTTGCAAGGTTCCGTAACAAAATATTTCAGGCTTTAAAACGTTCAAGGACGGAATTGCAACCGACCAAGCCCAAGAGCGAATTAAAATGAATGGTGTTGGCTACCGGAACCTGGCCCTATTTTTTGTATTTAATGTTTCTGACAATCGCTTCTAGCCTTTGAACCACGATTCTGCAAGCACTGAAGCGTTTGGCATCTAGTCCGACCTGATGACTTTAGGTTTGAAAGAAGACTGAGCATTCGGTGATGCGTAGCTTATTTTGGGGGTCAAAAAAGCCACATACAACGGCCTGCACTGTCGCGCAAGCTTCACACCTATCTGCGGAAAGAACTCGGAAAGATTACGAAAATTAAATGCATTTATACCTAAAAAAAAGAATAAATAGCTGTCGACGTTGTGATGCTGAGCATACGTCATCCGCAATGTCATACCGCAAACCGATTTTTCATTTTATTTCTAGGTTTAACCATACTTTTAGTTTTGCCTATCGCCCAGCATCCTGCGTAGATTCCCATGAATGGCTCTTTAATGATCTTTACGGGACAGCCGACCCACCTGATTTCGCATAGTTTAGTCAATAACTCGCGAATTGCACTTTTATTATTAGTGCTTGTCCGTGCTTTTATGTGTTCGAGGCTTCGAGAGCGCTTTGGTTTAGGCTGAAACAAACTAGTATGAAACAAAATCTTTGGAAAACAGGCAATATTTAACGTGATCTTCCTTGGTGGTGCGTGAATGGAAGAGGTTATACCTGACACCTGAAGAAACGCCCCTTCAGGGTCCCCGAACCAGGTGAACTTTGGGGCGCCGTGCTCAAACATGTTCGTTAATTGAAGTCCGGTCATGGTGAGTACGTACAGGGTGCTTTCGTAGGGCATCATGGACATCATGTTTTCCCTCAGAATGACACCTGTATGAAATACATGAATATATGAGAAATGACAAAATTTACGCTATTTGTTATTCGTCCTCGCCTATATATATATATATATATATATATATATATATATATATATATATATATATATATATTCAGTTTTATAAGGAGTTATATCATGCGACGCAACAACAGCAAAAGGATGCATAAAGCATGCTTTTAGGGTGGCTTTAATTTTTGCATTTTTCAAGAAATATAGACACGGCGGTTTCTGTTATCATTAATTTAACGGCACACTCTTTATTTATACCGCGGAATCACGTCTCATAAAGTAACTAATTTCTGATTTTGTTAATATGTATAATATACACGCGAATTACGACGTTGCAAGAGGGGACAGCATGCTGTTTCAGATTGAGATAGGATTATTCACATGCTGCAGCGCTTTTCTCCCGTTATCACTTTTTTTTTTTAATGAGACAGCACGTTTTTGGCCTGCCCACGCTTCCTTTTCCCAGAAAATTTTCATCTGCGACAGGAAACGATATGTCCTCTCCTCCTCCCCTTATCTCGCCCATGTGCTGGTCGGAGGTCGCTCCGCGTGTACGTACGTCAACGGACTGTGGGTTTCGTGGTTCGCAGTGGTCTCGGTGAATATGCACGTATCGCATCGTCCAAGCTCGCTGAAAATGCTCCGGTCATCTTCACATTGCCTCGTAAGAGAAAGAAGACGACTGAAGGAGGACATCGCGGAAGAGAAGCGGCGGCCCAATAAAGCTCCCAGCGTGTTTCTCCTCTCATCGAAACGCCAGAAAATAGAGAACAGTGTTTGCCGGGGGCAGAGAAGTAAGCCGGGCTCGTTCAACACCTCCTAGATAACAAGGCTGTAGTGCTGGATTATTGGCGTCACTCTCAAGACCCTTACTCAAGGCACAGTTTGAACACGACTGCTACGTCAGCTTTCGGCCGGGACTGACGGAAGATAAACGGTGCTTGTTAAGTTTTAATTCCTCCCTAGCGTATCAGAGGAGTAAAATGTGTTCATTTTTTTTTGCATTATTTCACGATGCTGAGTTGTTTTGTTCTTACTAGGATATAGCGAAAATATTATATACGTCAATCAATTAATCGATCAATCAATCAATACAATATATATATATATATATATATATGATTGATCGATTAATTGATAGATTGATTGATTGATATATATGAATATATTATATATTGTCAGCTTCGGGTCACCGAGTGGTCTACCAACCTGTGGTGGGGAGCGCCATGGCCCATGACGGGCCGGACTTCCCACACCTTCCGCGAAGCGCACCTCTCCACCTGAAGGGGGTCCAAACAGGGGTGCTACAAAACTCACGACTCCGACAAATCGTGCGGCGCTCCGCTTCCGGCTGCCGGGGAGAAATTAACCCTTGTCAAATCAACCGGGGGGAAACTTCCCCCCTCCCCCCCCCTCCCCCCCCCCCCCCCCCCCCCCGTCAAATCTCCCCCTCGCTACCTCCACGGCGGCCTTGCTCTGCTCATCACGTGGGTCCGGAGAGCCACTCACACGCTCTGTTGGCTATCTGTGAATCGCTCAATGCCTCCGCCGCTTTGCAAGTCCCGAAAACGGGAAAGGGAAGACTCGAGTGTGAGGGGGCAAGCCAGGCGAGCGCGCGTCGTGTCCAAGGTCGTGTCACCTTCCAGCAGTTCTTTGGATTGGATCGGATTCCCGCAGCTCTTGTTCCGAACGCCTGGTTGGTTTGGAGTTTAATAAAATAAATGATATATTCTTAAGTCCTCAGTGTTTCTACATACAACTAAAAGTCTCACAGCTATGCACTGCACTTTATTTTATTTATTTTTTTTCGAGCTACGAACGTGGATCTTGACAAACAGAGCCTGAGCCGGGGCGGCCGAAACGCGGCGCGCTTTGACGCAGGAATTTTTCCATATCCATCCGAAGCCGGACCTCTTCGGTCCTTTGGCCTGGTTCACACTTGCGAATCGGCGGGCGAATCTGTAAGAATTCGGCCGCCGGGCGTAGCGTCCACTGTGCATTGCTGCGGCCGATTCCGCGTCGGCGGGCAGCGGATTAGCTGTAATGCCTCGTTCACACTTGGCGAACCGGCGCCCGGATCCGCGAGAATTCTGACGCCCGGCGACGAAAGCTGGCAGAATTACTGGCGGTGAGCAAGATCGCTCTGGGACCAATTTTGAACGCCGGAAAAAAGTTTTCTCTGGCCGCAAGCCAATAAGAAACGCCACGGGGGGAAGGGGGCGCTTGCTGACGTCAGATCGCCGCTAACGAGCTGGTGACGATGGCGACGAGACGTGCGCGGGCAAGGAGGAAGTTCGCGAGCTCTCGTCAGCTCTCGTCTGTTCGATAAACTGCGAGACGCTCGCGCCGCGCAGTCCGCAGGCGGCAACAAATGTGAACCGCCCGATCTTTTTTCAGCGAGCGAATCCAGTCGGCGGCGAGTGCATATTTCGCAAGTGTGAACGAGCCATAAGGCCCGCTTCAGACGGGGCAATTTCGCCCAGCAACTTGACGTCGCAACTCTAGCAAGACGGGCCGCCCGCGTTCATACGCAGCAACCGAATTGCTCCGACTTGCCATTATCATCATTAAATTTGATTCTTTTTTCACTATCTAGACGCCCAGCTACGCGCTAAAAACGCGTTCTTATATCTTTGAACGGCGTTGAGAATACTAACTAATTTTTCTGAAACTGTTTATTTCCGGAAAACGATCCATTCCAAACCAGAACTAAGTCTTTAGCTGTCATCATCACCATTACAGGGGTGTGTGTCACGTGAAAATATCGCGTCTCTGATTGGCTGCAGGCGCTTCAACGGTCTTCGAATTGCTCCGAGTTGCTCGCTTGTTCGAGCCGGACCCGATCTCAACAATTCGCGTCGATCTAGGGAAAAGCTAGGGAACAACCCGCCAGCAACCCCAAAATTGCTGGGAAAAGTTGCCCCGTCTGAAGCGGGCCTAAGTGTGAACCAGGCCTTCCTGCCGAGGTGATGGCGGTAGCAAGGCCGGCGACTTCGTTTGCCTCGGGAGGTAGACAGGCATCAGGCACATCATTGGCAGGTGGCGTGTGACGTCAAGTCTGGACGAGCACCGACGTCAACGACAAGTGGAGGAGGAGGGCGAGGAGGAAAATCGTGATTTTGGCTAGGCTGGTGTGCAAACAGACATTCGACCGACGACTACCGGACGCTTCAATTTCGACGATTTTTGCAGAAGTCGGTGTGGCCTGACGATTTTTGTAGTATCTTGTTTGGACACTTCTTGACTCGGCTCACCGTCTCCTCGCTACAACTTGGAGGGCGAAGACATTCTCCGAGGGGTCGCAAGTTTCCGCAACTGACTGCCACGTGAGACGCCCCCTTCTTTGCCTTGCGCCAGCCCCATTTTTCTCAAATTACCGCTAAATTTTTGAGAAATACATTCGACGTGGAATTGCATAGCGCCACTCTTCGAGTTTACCTGGAGGCGCGCGTTCCGCCTCTCTCACATCCGCCAGCAATGAATTATCTAAATTCCGAGGACCGCAGGGAATGACAGATTGTGTTCAGCGACGCTTCTCTAAAATTGGTCGGTTTAACCATTATCCATTGCGACAAAAGAATCACTTGGTTGAAAGAGCAAGAAAAAGATTTTTCTAAAATCCAACATTTTCACGCCAAGGGAACTTAAGGATAGACAGGATTTTGAGG